TTCTCTGGCGTAACACCGTCGTAAAGGTGGTCCCAGCGGTCTTGGAGGGCTGCCGCTGTCGGCCACGCATTTTCAGGGTCCCGGAGCCAGAGGCGGAGTAAATGTCGTCTGACAGTCAGTCGAGTCTTTTTAAAATGTAGTCATAGCGTACTTACTGTTTCTCGGGTGAGTCGGTAAAGGCACCTCTGGCGTGGAAAATGCTCAGGTTGTTAGCGAACTGGATGTCACCCCGGCGAAAGTGCAGCGCCACTGCATTGCGCTCTGCTGTGTAATGCACGGCGTCAAGGGCCTCAGCCTGTGCCTCTGTAATAGCCGGGATGTCCGACGATCGTGGTAGGCCCCAGTAGCCTGTGAACGCGCGCCGTGCATATTGGATAACGAGTCGATCACTGTCGTCTGGCACCCTGTGCAGCAAAGGCCGGAGGACATACTTCGACTCTGTCTTGCCAAAGCTATCAAATGCCCATGGTTCCGCAAGGGTCGTGATCAGGTCCGGTCGGGTCTTCGCGAGCTCATTGTACACGCGGTAGCTACTTGACAAGTAGCTCTCGCCGCCATGGGCGGACTCCTGCAGTGCAAACAGGGCAATCACATCGCCGGCATCTGTGTGGAACACCTGCTTCTCGGTCGTATAAGCCGGGGCCCCGATACTGGCAGCGTCCACCGTGGCGGTCAGATCCTTGATGTGGGCGAGTACCACATCGGCGGGTCTCCCATCAAACTGCGAGTCCTGCCGACCGCGCACTGGAGCGACATGCGCCGAAATTCCGGCGAATAGAATCACATTCTCCTCAAGGGAGTGCTCTTCTACCGGGATGCCGCGGATGACCTTGAAGCCACGACCGTGGTGCACCTCCCGTGAGACATCACGCAACGTGGCGTGCAAGTCAGGGAGTGGAAACGTCTCTTGGCTGACAAAGCCCAGAGGTTTGTTGAGGCCTTTGAAATGTTTCAGAGCACGATGTAGCTCAGAAATATTGTCTGCGCTGAGGACATAGTTCCAATCGTATTTTGACGCGGCCAGGCTCTCCGGGTCCCAAGCCAGCTCAGAATGCAGCTGCTTTGGGAATCCCTCGGGCAACACAGGGTTCAGTTGTTCGGTCTCCGCGCGGCGCTTGGACCGTGCTTTGAACTTGTCGAAATCGGGGGAGTAGCCAATATCTGGCTGGCCAGGTGGCCCGCGCTCAACCACAGCAGTCATTTTGTGACAACTTCAAGTGTTGCAGCAGTAACGTCCGTTGTGTTTGGTGGAATGGCTCTATCTTTCACTTGTCGTTCTGTGTTGTAGAACTATATTTGTAATGCTCGCGTTCTTTGCATCTCAAATTTCCTAGAGGGACGATGTTTTATTTCCTCCTCTTTTACTTTTCACGTGAAAACGATTCCTGTTTTTGCAAAAGACCTCGTCGTAATATCCAACCACGCGTTGATAGCGTCATGCGGGGCACTTCCGTGTCACCTCCGCGGGTTTGGCACGTCATCGACAGAAAAGGGCAGGTGTTAGCTGAGAAGAGCTCGTGGGGGGCAGGTGGCTGAGGAAATGGACAACCGTCAGGTCATTGTGCCACAATGTCAATAAATCGCGAATCTTCGGCATGATACGTCGCAGATCCCAAGTGTCCTGGTTAAAGACAGCTGCTGGGGGAAATATGTGGCTTGTCCCTCACTGACACATTGCTTCTTCGAAACTCGATCAGCCACGACCACCGCCTCCAAACCTGTAGCGTGCGTGATGCTTGCAATTTGCCCACGGACTGATCTGTGGATTGTGGCACCTACGACGTCCATCTATCTAACTCTCCCAAGGTTGTCTACAGGGGCAGTGTTACGGCCCTTCTTAGATGACATCCAACCTTGGTCAGCCGAGTTTCTTGGGAGTATTGTGTCGCATGCGGCGCTGTCAAGCGAATATCTGCATTAGATCCTGGTTCATTCTCCCCGGGTTTCTGTAGGATCTCATTATTGATCAAAATCTAATAGCAGCTTGTCGCGTGATTGCGCTAGAGGTATCATAAAAAACCAAGTACAAAAATAAAGAGTCTCTCTCCGGCTATTTCAAAGCCATCTAGGCCCTCAATTCGCAAAGAGCATTTCAGTTCACGGTGGCTGATTACCACCCTTAATCCCAAATCCAGCTAACCCAGGCAATCCATTTGCCATACTTGGTGTCAGGCTCCTCTTCGTACTGGGCCACCTGCTCAAGTGCTTCAGCAAGAGGAACGGTCTCCAAATTGACAATCTTGGTGCGCTTGTAAAGCTTCCAAAAGAGATAGGCGATGAGGACAAGCGGGATGTCAAGATAAGCCGAGACAAAACCTGCGGGGTCCCAGTTGCCCTTGGTGAAGACCTTAAATCCGCCGGTGAACAAGATCAGGACACACATGACCAGGCCGAACCACGAGCTGACAACGGTCCACGAGTTGTACCAAGGCAAGCGGTTGGCCGGGATTCCCTGGATGCTGAAGGCTTTCCGCAGGCGCAGGTGGTTGATGAGAATGGTGATCCAGCTGACGAGGACACCGGCTGCGGTGAGATCGACCAGCCACCAGAAGACATTGAGGGCGCTGTCAGAGAGGGTCATGAAGCTGAGGAACATGAAGAGTGTGAAGAGTCCGACAGCGACGTAAGGTGTACCCCAGCTCGTGGTGCGGAGGAAAATGCGCGGTGCTTGCTTCTTGAGGGCCAGGCCGTAGAGGACACGAGTGCCCGAGAGCAAGGCCTGGTTAGACGAGGACCACGCAGAGGTGATAACTACGGCGTTGACAACTGACGGGATGGCTGGTAGACCAGCCGCGGACGCGGCAATAACAAAGGGACTCTGGGCAGCGGTGCCAGACTCGTCGTCCAGGCGCGGGTCGTTGCTAGCCACAAGCATACCGACAATCAACACGGCCAACACGTAGAAAACGGCAATGCGCGCAAAGACACGCTTGCAGGCACGTGGGATGGCCCGTTGTGGGCTGCGCGTTTCGGCAGCGGCCATGGCGAGCGACTCGACACCGGCAAACGAGAAGACAGCGCCCGTCATGACACTCCAGTAGCCCAAGAAATTGCCCCAAGCACCGGACGCAATAAACTCGACAAATGGGCCAGGATCCTTCCAGTAATAAAAACCAATGCGCGGCGTGCCCGGCACACCGCCCAGATCGACGACCAACCCAAGGATGATGAGGAAGACGACCAACAGGACTTTCAAAAAAGCAAAAAAAAACTCGACTTCGCCAAAAACGCGGATGCGCGCAAAGCCGACGATGTTGGTCAAAATAATAAACACGACAATCCACACAGCCGGCGTGATGTCTGTCCAGAACTGGAAGAGCACGCAGATGGCTGTGATCTCCGTCGGTATGGACAGCAGATTTCCATAAATCAAATTGCATCCGACGGCAAAGCCCCATGCCGGGTCCACCAGTACTTCGGCGTGCCGCACAAAAGCACCCGTCACCGGGTATAGCGCCGCCGTCTCGCCCAGCGCAAACTGCACTGCACACACGACCAGGCCGACAGTGCCATAGCCCAGCAGCGCGCCCAGGGGACCTGCTGTCTGAACAGCGCCGCCCAAGCCCAGGAACAGACCAGTACCAATTGCACCGGCAATGCCTAACATCGACAGGTGTCGCTGATGTAGGCCGCGCTTCAGATCGCGGTTCTCGGCCGTTGTTAGCAGGCCATCGTCGACTGGGTTGTCATCGTTGTCAAGGACCCCGTCAGTGGGTCCGTAGCTATCATATGCGCCGCTTTCGACCAGTGCGGGATCTTTGCCGTGTGTGCGGTACGACGCCGGGCGTTCGGACGCCATGAGAAGAGGTGTTGTCGAAGAAGATGCGTCGATATCGTCGAGGTCGTCGTTGGTATTGGAGGGATGTGAAGTGGACGATGCGAAAGTCTGCCCGCCCATGTTGGAGGCCAGGTGGCCGTCCGCTAACGAAAGCGACTACACACTTGAAAAAAATTGTGTGAAAAAGTCTACAAAATATTACCTAAAATGCGGGCAGAAAATACAAGAGAATACGGGGCGATGTGGACTTTGTACAAAGCGGTTTACTTCGCACTAGCATCTTCTTTCGGTGGGGAGACCAACACGAGAGGCACTGAGGGCGTCGTGTCTGGTGTTTTTGCGGCATCGGTGCTCAAGTGGAGACCTGCAAAACGTCATTTTGGTGCTGAAGCACGCTGTGAAAAATAGTGGGGTTCAGTCGGTCTTATCCGATAGGTATCTCCTCTCGTAATGGCGACAATCTTGGACGGGCCCTCTCGAAGAGGCAGGAGCAACACTGGCTTCCAAGAGAAAATGAGAAACTGACCGCCAACAACAAGCAAAGGTCCCTAAAAGACGGAAATTTTTCCTGAAAACGCATACCTTTGAAGCGACCATAATTCACGGGGCAAGAGAGGAGAAGGATATACATCAGTGCGTCTTACGTCGTGTCCGATGAAAGGGCAAATTGTGTGATACAGTAAGGAGAATTGTAAGGACAGATGATCCATGAATGCCAACTTCAATCTCAACGAGACAGACGCAATCATAAAGACTAAGCGATACTCCGTGTACATCCGAAGGCTTTCTGATGCTTATCGCCTCCCGACGCATGCGTACTCTGTATTCTACGGATACGACGCAGGTTGCTTACATACTCAATTGCGCCGCCAATGTGTTACTGAGCCGTCGTAATTAGCGTCATCCGACATTGGTGCCATCGCAATATGTTTTCCGTCTTGGAGATGACTTCCAAGATTGTGGGATTATATAATATATTTTTATTTGCGGATATTCTTTTTATTCTTATTCTTTTTTTTTTTTTTTTACGAATAATTATAACATGCTTTTTTAAAAGTCTATTTCTTTAAAACAATACTTAATTTTTGACACATTAAAAACGAAGTCCATCTTAAGAACAGTTGCAGATTTTGAAGCAAAACATCAAATGGAACCATAAACGGAGACAACGTCTTGCTAATTTTACGATGCCACGGTCTCCGTAACTGTGATATGAACGGTCTTACTTGGCAACGACACGACGCTCAAAACGAGGAATCTGCTTGGTGAACGCTGCTGGGTCGTCACGGGCACCGTCTTTCCAGTACTCGTACTCGATCCACTCGTTCTCTGGCATCTGTTCCTCCATGGCAGCCATCCACTTGCCGAGTTCCGGGCTGAGAGGAACCACACCCGTCTCCAGCACATACTGGTCCCACAACTTGATGAGCTCCTTAAGACGCGCGGGCTCCTCCTCGGCGAGATCGTGGATCTCACCTGGGTCCTTCGCAAGGTTATAGAGCTGCCACGTTTCTGTGCCCTTTGGCTTGGGAATGAAGACAATTTTCCAGTCGCCCTTGCGAACAGCCGCGCGGCCACACGTTTCCCAGCCGTGAATAAATTCCTTGTCGTGGATACGCTCGGCCGTGTTAGCCAGGTAGGGCACCATGGACTTGCCGCGCATGCTGACAATCTCGCGGCCCTGGTAGTGCGGAGCCGGATGCTGGACGCCGGCCATTTCGAGGATCGTGGGCACAATGTCCATCACGGTAGCGAACTGGTGTGTAATGCTGCCGGGATCGGCTGCCCCGACGGTTGAGTTCCACGACGCACCAACAGGCGGCTTCATCAGGAACGGCACACGCACACCGCCCTCTGTAGTGTAAGCCTTGTAGAGGCGACTGGGTGCGGTGGCAGCCTGGGCCCAGCGTGGACCGTACCAGATAAAGGAGTCGCCGTTTCCAAGGTTGTCAATGTTATTGTTGTAGTACTTCTTCAGATGGCCGACCATGCTGCTCTGCACAATGGGGTAGGCCTCGTACGCAGCGCCCTCAGCGCCGTTGTCCGAAAGAAAGCACACAAATGTGTTGTCGAGCTCTCCCGTCTCCTCCAAGTAGTCAACCACCTTTCCAACGTTGATATCGATGCACTCAACCATGGCCGCAAAGACCTCCATCGCCCGACATGAGTTGGCGCGCTCTTCTTCTGTGAGGGCGGCCCACTCCTTGACTTCGTCTGCCACGACCGGGTGCGGCTCCACGTCCACCGGGACCATGCCCAGCTTTTTGAGGCTTTCAAGACGCTTCAGCCGCAGAGCGTCGGGGCCATCATTGTACACGCCGCGATACTTCCGGACCAGCTCCGGCGGCGCCTGCAGTGGCCAGTGTGGTGCTGTAAATGGCAAATAGCCAAAGAAGGGCTTCTGCTTTTCCTCCTTGCTCGCTTGGCGGTCCTTGAGGTACTGCAGCATCTTATCGCCGTAGCCATTGGACGAGTACCAGTTATCGGGCAGCTTGCGCACATACTCGCCATCTTCGCTATGCAGCGCAATAAAGCTCATAGTCATGAACTCGGGCGTTGTGTCCTTATCACGCAGCTGTGGTTCGTAAGCATAGTGGTTGCTGCACGCCGGAAGATGCGCAAAACTGCGCGTGAAGCCGCGCGCCTTGGGGCTGTGTTCGGGCGTCAGGCCCAAGTGCCACTTTCCCGACATAAGTGTCTCGTAGCCAGCGTCACGCAAAATCTCGGGTACGGCGGCCACGCGCTCGTTGAGGTAGCCCTCGTAGCCGGGCATACCACGCTGCACCGCCGTAGACATAGTGCCGTTGGGATCATTTTGGCCCGAGATGTTTGTCCACTCAATCAGGTTGCCCAGACCAGCAATATGATGGTCGGTGCCCGTCATGATCATGGCCCGCGAGGGGGAGCACGCAGCAGCTGCATGGAAGTCCGTGAAGCGGATGCCGTTGTGTGCCAGCTTGTCGAGGTTTGGTGTGTTGATTTCGCCGCCGAATGAGCCAATGTCAGAAAAGCCCAGGTCATCTGCCACGATGACGAGGAAGTTGGGTCGCTTCGAGGCCATATCGACGTGCCACTGATGACGGGATGAATGTGTGTGGTGAGTCGTAAAACTTGAAGAGTAAGTAGCTAAGACGGCGCTTGTTGGTAGTTGGTTGTGCTTGATGGTGCTGGACTGGGAAGAAAGAATTAAATAAGTGCTTTACTCAAAATCGAACGAACGAATACAAGGGCCGTCATCTTGATTATTTTGTCCAATTCGAACGGCCTTTCTTATACGGATAGGTTACATTACTATGCAACGATTTCGGTCATGTTCGGCCGCATGAGAGCTCGCGTGTTGCAGGGACGCCCACGCGTGATGCCTGAAGGGGTTAGTGCGGGTTCCGCGAAAGACACTCGGTATCGATATGTGTTACAAGATTCCCGAGTTCCGTCTTTACACCGGGAGTCGGAATGCGGCGACCGGACGCTGCTGACCGTCATTGGCATGCTGTCTTTAGCGCGTCCCGAAGCGTAGACTTTAAAGTGGACCAGTCCACGGAGAATAGGCTTCCCCGCAATTTATTACCAAGGGACAATGGAGACCATCGAAGAAATAGATGGCACTGATCATGCCTATAGACGCATGTGTTCTTCTGATTCGAGGACTCTCGATGCCGTGAGCTCAGGGGGGTAAGCACGTCTTAAGAGAGCTGTTGTCAATGAAGCATTGCTTCGGTTCTCGATAGTATATAAACTATGCCCCAGGTCTCCTTCCACTGTTGTTTCTCATCTCTCTGTGGTCTCTCTCTCGACACCATATTGACATTTGTCACCAAGTCTCTTTGCATTGTATTTTTTTTTTTTTTTTGCGACATAATATTACACCTTCGAGCTTCCTCGAGATGAAGGGCGAGACACTGGGCAGAATCCGAGCATATTGGCTCGGCAGCGTGGTGTGTCTCGGTGGTTTCCTCTTCGGCTACGACAGCGGCATGTAAGTGACTTCTATTCTGGTGGTGTCTTCATAGCCTTCTTCAACGGTATATAACTATCAAGTCAATTTGCAAAGTACATCACTAACCATTGGATAGCGTCGGTGAGTGCACGATATACGCCAGACAGACGTTACTCTGGCAGGCCCATGTAGCAACCAAGTCATCAGATCCATTGCCATTGAGACTCGTCTAATAGCACATGGTCTTCTTCCCTCTAACACCTGTCTCCTAGGTGGCGTCCTTACTTTTAAGTCATTCGAAAATGACTTCCACTACACGTCCGCCGACGCCACGCGCACCAACTCGCTCGCCGTCGGCCTGCAGCAGCTTGGTGCCTTTGTGGCTTGTTTCTTGGCATGGCCGCTGACGTCCCGCCTCGGCCGCCGGAAGACATTGATGTTGGCGTCGTTTGTGTTCTGCGTCGGTGCTCTCATTCAGACCATCAACACGCATTCTCTGTCAGCGTTTTATGTGGCCCGTGTCATTGCTGGCCTCGGTCTCGGTGCAGCCACCGTGGTTGTGCCCACTTACAGCAGCGAGATGTCGCCTAAAGACATCCGTGGTCGCATCGGCTCTTTCTTCCAGTGGTTCTATACATGGGGCATCTTTTTGTCCTATTTTGTAGACTACGGCGTGTCGTTGCACATGGGTGGAACCGACTCAAGGCAGTGGCAGATTCCGGTAGGCCTGCAGCTGGTCCCGGCTGGACTGCTGGGCCTCGGAATGCTCACTCTGAAAGAGTCAACACGTTGGTTGACGAAGAAGGGTCGCCATGAGGAGGCCTGGAAGAGCCTCACGTGGATCCGGGGTCAAGATTCCGAGGAGGTGCAAATGGAGATGGAGGAGATCCGCCGGGGCGTTGAGAACGAAGTGCGGGCCACCGAGGGCTTCCAGCTCCGGGAGCTGCTTCAAGGAGACAACTTCAAGCGCGTCTTTACTGCCTTCGCCATCTTTACCGCACAGCAGTCGACGGGTGCTACGGCATTTGCATACTTCGGCCCGCAGTACTTTAAGCTGCTCGTGGGCAGCGGATCCAAGGATCTTCTGCTGACGGCCATCTTTGGTGCCATCAAAGTCGTCGCATGTGGTATATTTGTTGTATTCGTGTCGGAGCGTGTCGGCCGCCGGAGCATGCTGGTTGGTGGCGCGGCACTCATGGCGGCGTGCCAGATCACCACGGCCATTGTGGTCAAGACCATCCCACCCCCGGCCGAAGGCCGTGTCACTTCGTCCGGAATCGCCACGGTGGCGCTAATCTATATTTTTGTCATCATCTACAACTTCTCCTGGGGTCCTCTTCCATGGCCCTATGTGTCCGAGTGAGTGACTCAGTTGACTTTTCGACTCGAGGCTCCTTTTGTGCCGCAGGCATATCTACATACATTTACTGACTGGCATAGGATCTTCCCGGCTCGTATTCGTGAACCGGGTATCGCAGTCGGTGTGGGCTCGCAGTGGTTGTTCAACTTTGTGTTCTCGCTAACGACGCCGTACATGATGAAGGGACTGGGCGGCTGGGGCACGTTCCTGCTTTGGGGCATTTTTGATGCTGTTATTGCTGTTGTGTCTTTCTTTTTCCTTCGCGAGACCAAAGGTCTGTCCCTGGAGAAGATCGCTCACCAGAAGTTCCGCAAGAGCGCCGATGCACACCAGGTGGACGAAATTGAAGATGCCAATGGAAAGGCGCCGACTGTCCTTTGAAGAGGGTACTTTCGCATATTGTTGACGGGGAGACACCAGATACAGTTTTCATGTAGTTTTCAAACATGACTTTGCGATGTTTGCCTTCTAGAAATATGCTCTGAAGCTATATTATATGCAATACCTAGAACATTTGCTGCTCATCCATGCCCACTCTGCTCCCTTGAGGAACAGGATTGCCGTAGGTACCCAGCATATCCGACCACAGTCCAAAGTCAAACCCAGGACCGTCACCCATCAGATCGCCAAACAGCGGCGGAAGGTCAAACGTCGTGACAGCCGCATCGCCAACGTCGTTGTTAACATCCGTGCCCGCATCTGCCCAGTATTCTGTCACGTGCCCGGTGTTGCAGTTGTCCTGCCGCTGATGTTGATTTTGAACAACATCGATGCGGGTCGGCGACCAGGCTGGAGGAATCATCCCAGCCACATCGGCGGTGCCGGCGTTGTCTTTGCTCCGTTCGGCTACAGATGCATTAGACGCTGTTGGGCGTGCAGCGCCTTCCCTTACGGCCTCACGGCTATCATCCACAAAATCGGAGCGTAGGAGAAGACTGTGGACAGCGAGAAACTGGTGAGATCCGGCTTCCTTTGTCACACCGGGCGGGATGCGGATGCCACGATGGGCGCTAAAGACGGACTCGTTGTCGTTGTTCATTGGTGACGACCGTAGCAGGCGGCGGTAGCGGGCCACGAGTCGTGTGAGATCGTCGCGCATGGGCTGGACCGCGACAGAAAAGGCAAATCGGCGTGACAAGGTATCGAGCACATCCTGGCCCTTGGAGATGGCGATGCGCACTGCAGAGGTGTCAGCCGTAGATCGTGTGCCCTGTGTTCTGTCGTACGTGCTGCCAAAGAGCACAAATCGAGTGGCCTGGTAGCCACAGACTGCGGCATCCCAGTCGAGCGGCTGAGATGGGTCGGCATGCTGGTCGTAGTCGGCGAGGACACATAGCACTTGGCGCGCATTCTGGATAGCCCGACTGCCCAACAGTGTGATATCAGCCGGGTGGATCTCGTCAATGCAGCTCTGCGCAGCCGTGTCCGGGTGTCCTCGGAGGAAGCTGCGATATAGGTCGCATTGACACTGGTAGTAGGACATGTGCAACATAGCGTACTGGGGCGACCACGGGAAACTACTCGGTTCAGCTGGTGGATATCTGTCTTGAGGCGCCATTTGGAGGTGGATGCGTTGGAGGCTGCTCTGGATCTCATCAAGGGTGGTATAGAGGTTGCCAAGGGTCATTCCTTGTCCGTAGATCTGTCGGTTAAATCTGGCTAATATTAGCCACGTGAAACTCATGGGGCCAGTTGCAGGTCAAAAATGGGCCTACTTCATGATGTTCCGCCGTAACAGCGCCACCTTGACAAAAAGTCCTCGTTGTCCAATGGAGGTCGGCTCGACTCCCAATCCCCGGATTAAATAAGCCGTATTCATATCTGGACTGGCCTCGTTGGCAAAGTTGGTATCTTCCCTAGGCAGCCGCAGGTAGATGATGTCCGGGTGACACAGTTCAAATTCCCGTAGGCCCGAGCAGAAGACTTCCTCCAGAAAGTACAAAGACCAGAATGTTCGGCGGCGGACCTCCTGGGCCACGGGACTCAGCTCGTGGTGCTCGTAATTCAGACGCAGGGCAGCAGCGAGCCTGGCTGCTAGGCCGGCCAACATAAATGCCCGACTAAAACCCCCAGAGTCGGCACGGTAGCGGATGACCAAGAGAAGCGCCTGCAGGTGGAAAATGGACGGATGGCTGAGGCCCTGAAATACAAGTGTTTCGCTGGCCTGGGCCCATTTATCGCGCTCGTCGGCACATCGCCCCATGAACAGCGCCGTAATAGCACAAAGTGCGGCCTTGAGGGCCGGGTTGATGGAACGTTCAAGACATCGCTGCACGACAGTAGACTGATGCAAAAAACCGTACGCAGGCAGGGCGTGGAGATAGCGGAAGTACTGGTCTACCAGCTCGGCCTCGATCTTGTCATCAATGTCTACAGAGAAGTCGGTCAGAGAGGGAACAGACACCACAGGACGACCAGGTGATGTGATTGTGCGGCCAGGCATGTGGTCAGCGGTGTTCGTGATAACGCTGTTGGTGAGAGAGGGACGGAGGTTGGAATCAGCAGTGAGATCATCGGACGCGCCATGGGCCGGACGTGGTGCAATTGTCGCCGACCGTCGCTGCAAGGTGCTCATTGGGCCGGGACACATTTTGGCTTGTCTGGATTTCCACGTCGCCGCTGTCGTCCCGCGTACCAAGTTGTTGCGTTGTGTGCTGCGGAGGTTACCCTGCATCGTGGTGTATGTACAGGGTTGATTTCGTCGCACGCACTCGGCACACTCTGGTGTGTCAGCCGAACATCTGATTTTGCGACTACGACACCGAACACACGCCAGCGAGCTACGGTACTTGGGCGGCAGCTCAACAGCCGCACTGGCTGCTCGGCTGGCTGCTCCGTCTGAGCGATTCGAGAGAGAGCAGACCAGCCGAAGACGGTCGCATGTCCCACAAGACGGCAGGGCCCCATCACAGCGGACCTACTACGGATACGGTTGTGGTTAGCAGTTCACCCCGGGAACATTGAGGCAGAAAGTAAACGGAAGAAGGGCAGGAAGGGCAGTCATGCCTTTCTGACGCGACATTGCACGCAGGCGGTCTTCATAGTAGTCTCTCGTGCGGGTCTAGTAGCTGACGTAACTCAATATATGAGCCGCAGCTCAGCGTTCCCTGGCGACGGGGGGGTTGGGGGATGAGATGGACGACAGCCGACGGTATATGAGTGAAGAGGGCGATAACGGATAACGGGGTGAGATAAGACGGTCCAACGTGCACGATGGCCGATTTCCGTCAAAGCACATCAAATCCCAGAGGCGTTCATCCTCTTCAAAAAAAGCACGGCGACACCGGGTACAAGTATGTGTTCGGAAACGTTTATTTGCTTCTACTCTCCTCTCCGTGGGTGGTGACAGGCGAAGTCGGCAGAGGAGATGTGCGGCGGGGAACCAACCCAAGTGGGCCAATGGCAACAGACAAAATCCGAAAGCCGGTTAGGGAAGTGGAGAAAGCCTGACCACTTTGCTAGCACATGTACTGTGCGAAACGGGAACTGTCACTTGCGGCCCTACACTTGCACCCGGACAGCTGCATTGCGTCCCTAAATGGCGCCCAGCAGTACAGGTCTTACGCCAACACCAGCGGTAGATCTAGCGACCGAATGTCTTACTGCAGAATGTCCATTGACTGTCACGAGTTACGTAGGGCGATCATCTAGGTGTTCAATGCTCAGCCGCGTCTGGCAGAGCTTGGAGCCATCATCGTGCACCACAAAGCACCCAACTCCAACAACATCCTTAATCTTTTACCAAGGACACAAGTGAAACGGAGGTGAACAGCTCCGCGTCCTTGACGAGGCGGACTTGGTCGTGCTGATAGATGCCACTGTGCCTTAAATTGGAACCCAGTCCCGCCCAATGCAGAGCACGCGATCTAACGACACGAATGTGACTCGTTGAAAGACACAACCACTTTGTGATCTTTGCCATGCGCCAAGCGCCGAACAGTAGACGAAGCCATTCTTCTGACCCATACTGCCGATGTATTGGAGTCACATGATCTATATATGGCGGGAAAGGCGCGGGGGGGTATTGGCGGACGCGGCAGTCACTTGGCTTCCCGCTCTACACAATGCAAGGCTCGTCTACGGCAAGCTGGTAGCTATCAAGACCGGACCGTCCTCTAACTGTGCTGTACATCATGGCACGACAGCGGGAGGTGACGGTGGAAACGAGTATCGCCGGACATCATGCATCCACGACAAATCTTGACAACGTAGCGCGCCATTCTGGCCACAACAAGCCGTTTTCTCTCATTTACAAACACGGATGTGCTCTTGGATGGTACGGTGGTGCATTTCGTCGGTGCCATGCTTGGCTAGCGTGACGACGCAATCTTCGGCGGCGAGTGGATCTCGTCTGGGCATCATAATTGCATGCGACCGCAGTTGGCTGTTTGGCCTCTAGAATTGTGCGTACTGGTTGGCCGCCAAGGCAGGCACGACGCTGTTACCATCATATTGAACAACGGAGAATGGGTGTCTCTGAAAATAGGTGTCTTCAGATCTACCCAGAGGTGGCGCAAACGCACCATATGAGGCTTCCAAGTGTGTGCACCCCTCAATGATGACTCCATGGTCGCCTGGGTGCTTGGCCAGTGCTCGATAATATAGCCGAAGGAGCTTCCAATGCATAGCGGGTGATAGTGCGTGATGTTGTCTGAGATGGGTGAGGTCCTTCGAAAGCCATGTCAGTCGTGTAGGACGAGAGGGGGTGCGCCAATGTCGAAGTATACCCCGGTAATTGGTCGGAGCTGCAAGACAACGCAAAATCGATTGATCATCTTCTGCTCGAGTTCCGTCATGCTTCTAGAACGCCCGAAGCGTTCCAGGTAGTAAACGTAAAACAGATGCCCGGTTGAGCCGCACGAACCCTAAACCTGATTAGTAGTAGTAGCACATCCTGGTGTGGGAGTCGCATTTCGTAAAGGCACCAAATGCCAGGTTGCCCATCGGCCCGTGAAATACACTAAACATCTTACAATTACACAGATTTAGCAACGTGCATACGAGATAGACAAGAGATTCTGCTTCGTGGTATATGCACCTGAAGACGAAATGTTCACAAGGCAGCAAGCATTGTATGAGTGGGGATAAAAATCCGGATGCGCAACGCCGTTCCCGAAAACCGTCGAGATCCGTACATGGAAATTGCTTGGTAATATCTTGTTCCACGAGCGTAGCGGCGTTCCAGTGATACTTCGTAGTTACCCAACACCGTGGTCAGCTTACCGGACACTAAACAACATACGATGATTTCGCACGTATACGATGTAGACGAAGCTAAGAGGACTGTCAGTCCCTGCAGCCCTGTGACGCCGTGCCATTTTATTTGAAGGCTTTTTCTCGGCCGTTTTCTATATTGGGAATGAATAACGAGGACATTGAAAAGATTCTACAGAATAAGCTAAGCAGTGGAGAATTACGGAGGACAATACTACTTTACCAGGTTAACACAGAGATATGCTGTACATTGTGTTGAATGAGCCATCGCAGTTTACTTGGCAAGAAAGGTCTGGTGGTTAACAATTGCGTAAGACGGACGGTTCTCCTGGCAAGCCCCCGATGGGGAGGAAAAGCATAACGGCCGGGCGCGTCGCGTATTTCTCGTCAGCAGTTGCGACTTACGGCGACAGCCTGGATTTGGAAGGAGAAGTGCACTGGATTTGTCAAAATGGTACACAGAATTTTTTTAGACTGGGGCGGCGAAATTGTTTGCGATGGCGCAATCGAGGTCCCGCTTTGGAAGTACCGATCGACGACTCCCGTTGGCTCCTGCAGCGTTTCGACACTAAGGTGTACCTTGTGGCAGCCTGTCACGACATCCAAGTACAGGTACAAGTAAAAAAAATGCGTCGCAGCCGCCCGAGAAGTCAAAAATATAAAATCTTAAGATGCACCGGTTTCCGATTTGTCTACGGCGCTTCAACGTATAGCACCCAAGCTGTTCGACTCGGTTGGGACGCACATATTTTGACTCATGCCATAATTTGCCCACCTACGCCGTCCTACCTCGATGGCACCTTCCTTCTTCTCGAGGCCCAAGGGCTCAACGTCCTCATTCGATCAGTCCACCCCGCCGGAATTGTCGACCGACGCATCAACTCCAACAAAGGCAAAACCTGGCGATGGCGGCGATGGCGGCGATGGCAGCGAGACCAATATTGGGGCACGCTCCAGTGCAGATGTCGGTAAGTTTTCGTCTTGCGTTGCGAAGAGGCAGGCGTTTCCCAAGCAGGGATGCTTACTGCTATTTCCACAATACTAAAAGCCGACGAACTGACACCTTTGCTTCCGTCTCCACCTGATTCCGAAGGCCGCATCGAACATGCTCGCGAAAATAAACGTCAAATCGGCGTACTGTCGGCGACCATGCTGATTGTCAACCGTGTATGTAAAGACCATGTCACATCCCCGTCACCGCAACTTTGTTTGACAGAGGGTGACATTACTGACTTGTGATTTCAAGGTTATCGGGACGGGCATCTTCGCGACACCCGGTACCATCCTCGCGCTGTCTGGCAGTGTTGGCTTGTCCCTGTTTATCTGGGTGGCCGGCATGCTCATTGCCGCAGCAGGCACGGCCGTGTATATCGAATTTGGTACGGCTATTCCGAGAAACGGCGGCGAGAAAAATTACCTTGAGTTTGTGTACCGGCGCCCACGTTTTCTTGTCACGGGCTGCTATACAGGCTATGTGATGCTTCTCGGCTGGGCCAGCGGTAACTCTGTCATTTTCGGCGAATACATCCTCAACGCCGCGCAAGTCGAGCCAACACGGTGGAACCAACGCGGTGTTGGTTTGGCATGCATCACCAGCGCGTTTCTCATTCACGGCCTTGCACTCAAATGGGGTCTTCGCCTCCAAAACTTCCTCGGCGCCATCAAGCTTATCATCATCCTCATCATTGTCGTTGGTGGATGGGTTGCTCTAGCCGGACATATCAAGCTGCCCGAGAACGAGAAACCGCACAACTTTCGCAATGCTTTTGACGGGACGACAGGCAGTGCCTACGGCGTTGTCACCGCCCTGTACAATGTCATCTGGAGCTACATTGGCTACAGCAACGCCAATTACGCCCTCAGTGAGACGAAGAATCCGGTGCGAACTCTCCGCATTGCTGCACCGCTGGCCATTGGAGTCATCTCTGTGCTGTACATGCTGGTGAATGTGGCCTATTTTGCTTCGGTGTCCAAGGAGGAAATCATCTCTTCGGGTCAACTGGTGGCTGCATCCATGTTCAAAAATGTATTTGGTGGCGCAGCAGAGCGGGCCCTGTCTGTCTTTGTCGCACTGTCGGCATTTGGCAACGTTCTCAGCGTCATCTTTTCGCAAGGCCGGCTGGTGCAAGAGCTGGGTATCGAGGGTATCCTTCCATTTTCGCGGTTCTGGGCTAGCAATAAGCCCTTCAACGCACCGCTGGCTGGGCTCTTTGAGCACTGGGCTGTGTCTGTTATTATTATGCTGGCCCCACCACCTGGAGATGCATACAACTTTATTTTGAAGTAAGTTTTCCGTCCGGAATTCCAGCCGCAATCGCCTGGACGGCATATTCAAAAACTAACTCATGTGGTACAGCCTTATTTCCTATCCACTTG